TGAATCTTTGTGTTGTGTAGGCTAGTTGTATTATTTTAGCCCTTCCGGTGCAGAGGTGGATGCTGTACCATTACTCATGTTGAACTAAGAATGCATGGCAGCCCAGCTGCTTTCTGCACATAGAGGTGGGAAGAAATGCTCTTTATCTCAGGCAGCAGAATGTTTTGGGCGCACCCTGCCATGTCTTATGATCTCTGCCTTAAACTCTCAGTGCCACCCACTTCATTGCTGGAGGACGGCCTCCTCCCTGCCCCATCATGCACACCTCTTTCTCTTTCCAAGTAGCTTAAGAACTTAGGTTGTTTCTAAGTATAGTTTGTATTATATTAAAGCAGGTCAGCCAGGCTGGCTTTGTGATGCAAAAGAAGTATCGCAGAGGTCATTAGCAAAAGACACCAGCCAAGTTAGGAAGCCAGCTAATCAGGGAAACACTGTTCATGCCAAGAAGTAAATTCCAAACAGAATCCCTTTCCAGCCAACCAGCGTTAGCTCCACCCTCAGGAAGGTTACCGCTGGTTGTGGGCCAGAAGGTGGAAATGATGGCCGCTATTCAGTTGGTCTTCTTGTTTGATCTGAAGCTGGACTGCAGGACTGATCAAGTTGCACCATTACATCCACCTTCCAACCCCAACTCTGCCTGTCCAACAGTGTTTTCTTCTGAACCAGACATAGCCTAGGTCTCACTACTTCTTGGCTTATCTTGGGATCTTCTGGCTATGGCATTTCATCTAAGAATTCACACCCCTCCTCTTCTTCCATTTCAGATTCAGGCTTGGAGGAACCATCTTGGAATGCTGCATTTTTGGAGAGAATGAATCAGTCCCCACACTTGTGGGGACTGCTCCACTTGTGCCAACCAGCCTGACCTCCTTGGAGGAAAGGCAGGACACTGTCACAGAGGAACAGATGGACATTTCAGATATGCATATACACACTATCCTCTGCAAATTAAATAGTAACAATAGGAATGTGTTTGAAAGTACAAGCTTTAAACACTGCTAATGATTAAATCATTTTTAAAGCAATTGTTGTTAGAATAACCTTGAACTTCCTTATTCCAAATGTCTCTAAGCTCCAAGGTCAGCAGTATCCAATGCAACATAAGCACAGACATAAATTTCATTATGCTAGGCTAAGGGATTTTTAGGGCAATGCCAATAGCATTAGCTTGCTTGACAAGATTCCTTGGAAGAACCGTCATACCCTAACGCTACTGGCGTGTTGTAGTAGGGGCCCGTTATGCTAGTGCACTGTAATTTATGTTAGTGCTTGTGTCACACCGGATACTGCCCTTCTGTGCTGGTTTATGAGTTTGACTTGAGCTTATCGACTTGATATACTTTGGATCATTTCCATGGGAATAGTGTTATTGGGACCATGTACCATGGAGACTACTTTATGTATTCCATAATTAAAATTATGTATTCCATAATTTACTATCTGGGCCCTTTTCTTGCCTGACTCCTCCTTCCTGGCCTCTGCACTTTTAGGAAATAGCTGAAGAAGGAACAGGACCCCTTTATGTGATGGGTGGCTCCACAAACCCTGAGTTCCTGGTCCTATGGAGAGATTTATGGAAACCCAGCTGGGTCCTTCGTCAGAGCTTCACCAAAGATGTGGAGGTCAGAGGGATGGGACCGGTTGGCTGTGTGACACTGGGTGAAGCCAAGAGTTAGCTGTCTGTGTGAGCAGGGCTTAGCAAATAACTTCTCAGTCTAATTTAGTGCACACCGTTATTAAGCATGTAACACTTTTGCAAGAGTTGCACACCCATGCCAGATGACATTAAAACTGAATTTAAATTTGATAGGGTTGTGCCTCTAAAATTACTATGGATATGTTTTCCCAGCTGAAATATGTGTGTGGGAGAGTGTGAGTGAGAAAGAGTGGGCTTCTAATTACAGCCCTGAAATTATACATTAAGATGTTCACACACATGCCCTTCTGTTTGAAAAAAGCCCTCCTCCATATTTAACATGCAGAAATCAATATTAAATCATACGCGAAGCACATTTGATATTTTGTAAACAACCTTGGCGGGGGGTGGGAAGGGAAGAGATGTTGACTTCGGATAGCTTACAGTGCAACACCACAATTGTGCAGCCAGCCTGATGGTGTCTGTGGCAGTGCATTGGCAAGGAAGGGACACTTGTCTGGCCTTACACAGTAGTATTCTCTGCTAGCTAGCGCAGTACAAAGGTAATTCTCTTGCTGTTGCAAGAAGTATGGGCAACTTATTTAGGTAGGAATACTGTAAAAGGGACGAGCTTCATTCCAAATCTACTTTAGCGAGCAACTATTTAATGTTGCCCAAACAGAGCTCTGTAGGGAGCAATCCTGCCAACACAATAAAACAAAGAGTAAAATGATGGCTACAAGACCCCTTCTCCTCAAGCATTAAATGCAAGAAGGATCAAATTTGAAATACTGTTACCATTAACTTTATTTTTGAAATGTCTAACTTAATGGAAGCACATGCATTGTTAGGGTTATTTGGATAGTTGTTGGTGTAATATTGTGTAGGGCAGTAAACATTGCTATTTGCTTGTACTTCGGATGGAGATATGGGTCTATGGTTGAAGTTCCACCTCTAATTTTGCATCTATCCACTTCCTTTTATTTAACATTTCACTGACATGTCTTCTAAAATGTAGCCTCTCAAAGCATCCCCTTGTCACTTCATCCTATTGCCTTCTCTCTCCATGGCATGTACATAACTTCTGCTATTCTATTCCATTTCAGTTCTTTTACATGGATGGCATCCAGTGTTAGTCTAACTAAGAAACATAGAAACATAGATGGCCTTCCTGGGCCATCTAATCTGACCCCTGGCTCCAGCTGGCTTCACTCATGGCATGCCTTCCTTGTCCCATTCATTTTAATTTCTTTTCACTTTTCTGGAATCAGTTTAGATGGGGAGTGATTGTTTATTGTCACAAACAAACAAACAACAAATTGGATCTACTTTGACTAGAATGAACATTGGATACAACCACATGTCACCCCCTCCTTATTTGAGCATGGCTGTGGTTCTTCCTCTCTCTTGCTGAGCAAACTTAAGCAACATGAGATCGGTCATCCATAGAGCCACCTCTCTGGGTTTCTTCATAGTATGAGGAAGCAAGAGGAGGAGCAAATCTTCCCTTGAGATGTTGTGACAATTTCTGTTTATGATCAGAAATCTGAATATGCATGGCCAAAGAGAATACCCTCTTCCTTACTGGGAGGAGCAAACTTTCCATCCTTGTGCCTGCTAGAAAGAGCTGAAGGAGCTCCTTGGACAAGTGAAGGGCTGTGGCTCTGTGATGGAGGACCTGCATTGCATGTAGAAAGTCTTGGATCGAATCCTGGAATCTGGAAGTAGAGCTATGAAAGATCTCTGCTTGAAGTTCTCAAGACTGTCCACCAGTTGGCCTTGACAGCACTGGGCCAGATGGACCTGGCCCAGGATACGGCAGCTTCCTATGCTGCTGCAGCAGGAGGGCTCCTCATCCGTGGCAGTAGCAGCTGAGGAACTAGCTGGTCATCCATAAAGTAGGTCATTCTTTTAAAAGTCCTTCCTTGTCTTCCTGTGTCCTATTTTAAGCAGAGGTCAAGCTTTACGGATGCACCGCATACATTATGGACAGCTCCTAAAAGGCCCCAGCTTGTGTAGGTATCTTTGCACAGGTGGGTGAGCCAATGGGTGCAAGGGCAAGTGTTCAGCCTGCACCGTCTGCTCCTTTCAGCTGTTCATCACAGAAGCGAAGCATAACCCCTTCCCATCCCCCATACGCCCCAGCAGGCACACTCAATGCAGGCATGTTTCCTCAGTCAAACAAGAACCAAACAGCTACTGCAAGCTCCCATGGGGCAGGGGCGTATCTTCCTATAATGTGAAAGTTGCCATGCACTTGAATGGTACGCTGAAGGCAGAAGCCGATACATGTTTAGACAGCAACAAGCCTTAAGCTCCCAGCATTTTGGCTGGGAAATGTAGAATTTTTTCTTACATATGTTGATTAATTAAGCATTTTCAGAAATGGGTTACGGGTGAGAGCTTGGGAGCAACTGCTGGTGTGGAGCTTTTTTTTGCCATCCACCTATCTCCAACTTACAGTGATCTATGAATGAATACCTTCCAAAGTACCTTGTCTTTGGCAGCCCTGCTCTGTTCTTGTAAACCCAAGGCTGGGGCTTCCTTTATGGAATGGATCCATCTCCTATTTGGTTTTCTTCTCCTGCCCCAGAATTTCCCTAGCATGACTGTCTTCTCATTGAGTGTTGCCTTCCCATGAGGTGCCTGAGGTGAAGCTTCAGTTTCATCCCTTTTGCTTCCAGGGCACGTTCTGGCTTGATTTGATCTATGACCTACTTGTTTGCCTTTTCTGTGGGAGAAATAGTGGGAGAAATACCTAATGAATACACATATATTTGGAATATGTGAAGCTCAAATGCCTTTGTCTGCATGCTATAACAATAGTGTTACATGACTTCATGTCTCAGCACAAAGAATATTTGCTCCTGCTGTTCTATCTTGGATTAAATATATAAGAACACAAGAAACCAAAGAAGCTACTATAATAGGGATGTAAGACGGCAACAGGTGGCTGCACTCAGAAAGTCAACTGTGGAGAATCTGGAATCCATTCAATTATTGAAAGGCTCAGTAAAACCTTGCCTTGATCCTGAAGAACACAGAACACATCAGGCTGATCCATATCCCAATCCTTCCTGAATGGTCCTCCTGTGTACACTTCAAAGCAGAATCAATTGGATAAAAATAAATCTAGGAATAAAAATTCAAGGCCACTCTCGCAACCATTCGCAGGAAAAAGTCTCAAGTTAATGTGTAAATCAATACATACCCCTTCCCCCTCCCCCATGCAGAAATAGCCTGCACTGAATCCCACACATCAACCAAACCCCTCTTAGGTATGCAGCTGGGGACGTCATTACTTTTGCTGCCAAAGCCCTGGATGTTCCTTTCCCTCAGACTACTTTAGTCCCAGCAGAGGACCTGGGAATCCAGACTGCATGGGGAGATGAGGAGAAGCTGAGGAAGCCCTGGGTACCACAGACTGAAGCTCAGTACCCCATCCATCCTTTTCAGGTAGAGCAAGAAAGCTATTTGATATGCCTAGAACCTCTCTTGAACATCTAACAAATGAGAAAAATCTAACATTTAAGTTTATACAATATGCTGGCTTTCTTATTTTATGCTTGAGCAGCAAATGTCTAGTCAAAATTCTTCTGGCTCTAACAATATATAATATCGAAAGTCTTCCAGTTCTGCATATGATTTCATTACTAATCATTCACTTCAAATTTTCAAGATGCATTCAGGAGCACAAATAGACACACGTTGATTTCACTAAAGCTAAACTTGTTATTTGACTGTGAGACAATGAAGAGCTTTACATATCTATTCTCTCTGTAATATTCTCAGGGTTACTGAAAAATAAACTGAAAAACATTTAGCAGATCAGTAACAGAAAAGCAAACTATTCAGTGTCATTTACTGAATGCAACAGCGCTGGGAGATTTGAATTTTGGGTTCTTAGAACAAAAGGCAGTATCCTATTTGCAGAACCAAACTGATGCTTTGTTGTGGAGAGATAACTTGACAGAGCAGAAACTTGTAAGGAATCCCAAACTCCTGCTTATCTATGAACCTGAGGCAAGTGCAGCTCTCAGCACAAATGATCTTACAAAGATGGTTTTAAGTATTACTAAGAAAAGGTGTGCAAAAAGTTTTCAGCACTCAAATTCCGTTATTTAATTACTATTGTTAAAGTATTTTAGGAATACTAATGGATTATATTACTACATTAGACCAGTGCTAGAAGCATAAAGATGTTATAATAGGTTTATGACACTCATTATGTTATCTTAGAAAAATAAGTCCGACAACTCAGCAGAACTTTGGCTGCAAGTTCATGTACAATACAGTTAAGAGATAGCCCATGGAAGTCAATAGGAGTGACCTCTGAGTGCATATACATAATTCCACTAAATGTACAAAGGATTGGTCCTTAGTTTTTTTATCCTTGGCTTGCCTGCAGAATTTGAAACATTAAGTAAAGATATGAAAACCTTGACTGGCCATGGTCGCCTAACTGGAAATAACTGATGCTCAGAACATTTAGGGAAAAAGGCAGTGCAACCTCACCACATCTTGAAACAGCAGGAAAAGATGAGCATGATAACTTCTTAGCAGGAGAATAAGCATGGACCAAAGCATTCTTAGAATAATAGAAAATCTCTTAGACAATCATGGTAAAGATAGCTGTAAATTCTATGAGCACAGGTACAATTGCAGGGGGAAAAGAAATTTGGTAGATGTGTGTGTGAGTGAGAGAGAGAGGCAGGGGAAGGAGAGGGGAGGGAAAGACTGAAATAAAGACTTTCTTTATCATAAGGGACATTGCAATTCTCCCTAAATAGTGGCTGTTAATATGATTCTTTTCAAGTTAAACTTTTAACTTTCCTTTCTATGAGAGAGGGAAAGGGAGAGGGAGAGGGAGAGGGAGGGAGAGGAAATGCGATTACTGAAATAATTGGCATCTTATTTCCTATTCTATACAAAATAGGGCATAAAGTGTAATGAAGGCCCCTTTAGTTTGATTGCATCTCTTTGTAGACACTTGTTTATTAAATATTCATGATTTCATACTTCTAAAAAGTTTGGATCAAACTCAGTACAACTGCTGAGTTAATTAGAGCCTCAACCCCAACCCTTAATAAAAGGTAATCTTCTGTGCCATCTTTTTCCTCTAGAACGGAGGCTTTCTATTAGGACTGAAGCTGAATGTGAAAGAAATCCATGCATTGATAGGTCTGTGTATGCACATGCTGCCAGTGAGGAACCCACACTTCTCTGATGGGTGCAGTGTGTGTTGTGTCTGTGTGTGCGAGGGGGGCCAGATCTGAATAGGAACCTTTGTGCCACTCCCAGATTTTACTGCTCCTGAGTAACATAGAAACATAGAAACAGAGCGAGTCAGAAGGGGTATCCTGGGCCATCTAGTCTGACCCCCGGCTCCAGCCGGCTCCGCTCACGACATGCCCACCATGTGGATGTCGCTCACGACGGATAAGAATAAGCACTAGCCAAATGGCAAACTGCTGCCACTCAAGCACCCGCTGTGCCTCCAGAGTGCCAAGCCATGGCAGGGGTTATTGTGCTGGTCTCAGCCCTGGCACAAAATCTCTTACCACCTGAAGCAGGGAGAATATGTGGGGCTGTCATATGCACCCCTCCCCTCCCCGAGCTCCTGTCCCCACTGCTGCCCCATTGACTCCACGGTAATCTGTGCAACCAGAGGAAGTGGTTCTGGAGTCCTCATGAGGCTAAGAGGAGCTCGCAGGAGAATCTTGCAGCCACTTTTGGCTGCTGCCTCAAGGGACAGAGCGAGTGGGCAAGTGGCCCACAGAGCCCCACCAGCAGATGCCTCAGTGGGAGTAGGACCAGTGGGACTCTCCTGACCATTCTGTGGAGGCACCAGGACTGCCTGCTGGGCCTCGTGCTGGGCAGGGGAGCTGCACAAGTCGCCCTTCGTCCCATTCCATTGCCCAGCACAGGGGCCTCATCCTGCTCCACGGTGGGCTGACCTTGGCTGGCTGCTGTTTATCAAGAGGCCATTCTTTACTGACTCAGCAAACTGATGATGCCCCATTGGCAGCCCCATTCCCTGCTGCTGATCTGGAGCCTATTTCCTTGGCGGTATGGCCAGTGCTTCCAAGCTGTTGGATCCTACTTGGGTGTGGCAACCTTTGACATAGTCCTTCTATGTGCAATGGGCTGATGATACAGTTGCTTCTCACGCCAGAACTTCTGGCCCTCTGGGAGACGTGATCCTGAGAAGGGGGAGCCATTGTGCCATGTATATGGGTCCCTTGGGTACGTGCTTGGAATGTTATAATACAGTACGTGATCTCACCATGTTGAAAGCCCCTACTATCTATGGCAGCCACCCTCAACCAAGCTCCCACAAGATGTCCCCAACAGCAGCTCCTGCCATCTTCTAACCAGCATGGCCTAAAAGCTGAAGTTGCTATGCAGGCATGGAGTTCTTCCAGGGCAAATGGAATCTCCCCCCCCCCCCCAGAAAAGGAGGGATTCTTGCCAGGTTAATGAGGATGGGTATTTCACCAAACTGGAACAGAACTTTGTCTTAAAGCTGAACAACTTCCTTATAGTTCCTATAAACTGCACCAACCTCAAATTTCTGAAACAGTTGAAAAAGAACCTGAAAATATAGTTAAGGGAAAACATCTTTGCTTTGCTTTTCGAAGTAAGACACATACAGATATAAGAACGTACATTTTTCCCAATGCCATATAGCTTTCAAAAATCATAACATCAGAATTGAATTTATTTGCTTATTTTTAGAAAAACTATTGCAAATACAAACGGCACTCCCAGGATTGTTTCTCATAAGGGATGGGTGGAGGCATTGACACCAAAAACAGACTTGTTGCAGAGAAGAAATCAAAGAAGGCACTAAGCTGATAGAGATACCCTCTGCCATTAACCAAACCTCCTGCTTGCCCAAAGGTTAGCAATAGAAATAACATTTACTTATAGCAGCGGTATAAATAGCACAGGAGTAGGCTTCCAGTCTTTACACATCCAGTCTTGTTGGGTTTTTCTTGTTCTCTAGGAGCAGGCAAGGTTGAGCACAAGGACAACTTAACACAAGAGCTCCGTGCCGACTTTCACCCCAGAAGTACAGCCTCTGCTCTTCCCCTACAGCTCCTGGCCATGGAAAGATCCACGCAAGAGATCTTCCTCAACTTCATGATTGTACTGATCACGGTTTTGCTCATGTGGCTTTTGGTGAAGTCCTACCAAGACTGAAAGACTCTCTCGTGCTCCTCGGAGCTACTGAAGGATCTGTATTTACAGAAGGATGTGAATTCTACTGTGCAAGACCACTTCTCTGTGTGCTTTATGTCTAGTGTAGAGAAATTGTAATGGTTTTTTTTTACTCTAAGCTATCTCTGGGCTACATTAATCTAAATATTTAAATGGATCTAGGCTGATGTATATTATTTCATTGATCTACAAAGCATAGGTTGTCCTTCTTTTCCCCTATCCTCCATATACTTGATGTGACACTATGGTTGTGAATATAAACATCAAAATTCATACATTCGCCATGCCTGTCTCTTTCCTACCCAATCTTGTACAGCGCTTGTCATGTCAGGTTTTCATAGTTGGGACAACTTAGCTGAAATATGGAAATTCTTTCTTTATCCAGCGTTGTCTTTTGAATAAAGAATTACTGTTTCAGTCTCTTCTTGACACTATTGCTTGCAGCTGCAGAGAAGCCTTGCACAGAAATGGGGAACATGCAGCCCTGCAGAATCTGTTGGATTGCAACTTCCATCATCCCTCACTATGTGCCTACTAACTATGGCTAATGGGAGTTGCAATCTATCTATAACTGGAGTGCCACATATATCCCACCCTTGACTTCCATGGGGAAACCCCAACCCTAACCCTAACCTAATTTGATAAATATGCTTATCAATATAAGTTAGAGGATTAGCTGGGAGACAAACATAGCAATATAATATAAGTTTTGCAGGTATGTGCTGAAGTTTAAATTACAATTATTTGTAGCATAGGGTTAATGATTCTCATTTTACCTATCCCTAGCAAAAGAAATTACTCTCCAAATAACAACAAGAAAGGAAAGCTGTTTGCATAATGATTGTACGTGCAAACTTATATGCATGCATACAATTAAGGACATAATTACTATAATTTAAATAGAAGTAAAATGTATCTCATCTTACCTGAGAACATTGAACAGGTACATCAAGCAGATGCAGTCCAGGGGCGAAGTGGATGGGCAGGTGCTAAGTGTTCAGTCCACTTAGTACCTGGATGGCACCTGTTTCTGCCTTCCTGCCTTTTGCCTCTTTGACTTTAAACCAGATTTGGACTGGATTTTCCATCAAACTGAAGACATTTTCAGATAGAGGCCTGTTCTCTGGAAGTTCTCCCAAATAAAAGGCAGCTCTGTAAAGTTGGACACCTAGTTAGAATTACAAACATTACATATGAATCTGGCTAAACAAGCATGCTCCACCATTCATTAATGACCAATTAATTAATTAACCCCCAGTTATTAATGCTGGGCTAATGCAGGGTTTGAAGGAGCCTCTGGATTATATCAGCTTTCCTTTCCCCCCACATACTTCACATACTTATTCCAAGGACAAAAGGTAGTCTGTTAAAGTCCCATTAGGTGGATTAATAAAGTGAAAGGACTTCTGAGCATGTGCCGAGTGCCATTCCCTCATTATTTCAGTCAGGTTCACACAATCAAACAGCAACGCTGAGTAAGTCAACTCTGATCCTCTGTGCAAAGAACTATTTCTATGGAGCATCTCAGCGCACCTTTGTGTTGATTTTCCTCACAGCTGAGCAATCATGGCAAAAAATGATTTGTGACGGCATAGAGAAATCAACAAGAATGTTATAATGAACTGTTTCAAAGGGCCAGCCTGGATGCAGCAGCTTCTATCGGCTTACAGCATAAGAGCTACTAGGCTGTAGTTTGCGCACTGGACCGAGACCTTGAAAATATCTTCTCATGTCTATCCCATCATTAAGTTAGCTTCTTCTCCTGTCTTTTTTGAATGAAAATCAATGCTCCCCAAAAAATATATCACAGACTTAAAAATACAGAAGACACCCACAAGAAGAAGATTTAAATGCTTCGTCCAAATAAAAGACACCTGGCAAATTAAGGCCAAGCTTGTGTGAAATGTGGCAGCCAGGCTAGTAAATGGGATCAGGAGATCCAAATATATAATACCTGCTTGCATTGGATGCACTTCTGAGCCCACATGATGTTATTGGTTTTAACCCATAAAACCCTTCATGGCTTGGAACTATAATACTTGAAAGAATGGCTCTTCCAGCCACAATTTGCTTGGACGCACTAAATCACAGTCCTCTCACTGCCAACTGTGAGCGAGGCTCAGTTGGTGGCAAAAAAGAGGAGGGTCTTCTCAGTGGCGGCCCCCAGTTATGGAAACTCCCCACCAAGGACTGCTTATAGCCAATCCTTTCAGCACTTGAATAAGACTGCCTTCTAAATATTACATTCAGCTGTACATTAAGTACAGCTACTTAACAGGTCTTATTTTAATCTCTCTTAGCTCTTTAAGTTAGTTATAGTCAGTTTTTAAATCCCACAGTGAAACATTATGTTTTTATTATATGTATTTTATATTTAATTTTATGAGTTGTTGTCCAGAGAGCTTTGGCTATGGGGCAGTATAGAAAACAAATAAATAGAAGCATGGAAAACTGGCTTATTTATACCAGTTTAAACCATTTGTCCACCTGGTTCAGGAGAGTCCTTCGGAATGGCAGGGATCTCTCTGGGCTGCCCACCAAAAAAAGGTCTTTCAATGAACCTGGGTCCTTCCACGTGGACGTGATTTGCCACAGAGCTAAGATCTTCTCCCCTAAAGAACGTGCACACACTGGCAAGCTTCTTTTGGAATTTCCAAAATAGGGGCCATGACTGAGAAGGTGCTGTTCCTTTGTGGAATCTAGTAGATGAAATCTGGAAGAAGTTGCTTCCAAAACCTTTGAAGAAAGAGCAGTCACTTCCCAGATTATTTAATGCTCTATGCCAGGGGTGGCCAGCATGAGTCATACCTTGCTCAGCTGCTCAGAAAAGAAGTTGTGTCAAACTTTTTTGGCCCCTCTGTGAGCTGCAAAACATACTCAAAGAGCCTCAGTTTGAGCACCCCTGCTATAGAGGGTTGATTAATTGCATACCACAGTAATTTGCATATGCCTAGTTAGCAGCAAGTCCCATTCAGCTCATTGGGACTTATTCCCTAATAAGTCAGCATAGAACTGAGCTAAGTATAACCTTCTCTCCAAATCAGTCCTGTAATTCGAATGGCACTGGGTTTCCTTTGACTTTTGCTAAGCACTTTTCTGGATGGGAGGTTTCTCACAAATAAGCTACAGCCATACGGAAGGGGTAGCAGCACTCCTTCTTCCTGGGTTGCTGGGTAATAGGAGAAGTCGCAGGCCATGGGGAAGAATCCCTCTGCTATTCTTCCACCTCCCTCCTAATTCACAGGGAGCTGCAGCATTATGCTTGTCTTGCATGCTCCCAGGCTTCTCATGTTACCCTAGCCATGTGGGGAGGAACTGAGCTGCAGTGTCTCCCATATCATAAAGGTAACCCAAGAACAAATCCAAAAATAATCATTTAAGTGAGAGATCACTGCCTTGGCATTACAGCCTCCCATCAGGAGCAGAGCCACCATCTCACAAATTCACACAATTCAGTTGCATTCCTGGGGATGGCATCTGGATCTTGCAGCCACCTTCCAAAAGCAAGTCATGATCTAATTCTATAGGTTGTGAACCATCATCATTTAGTATGGAGGAGCTTCTTGCACAGAATCACCCCTCTTTTTATCCCACTTAAGTGAGTGTGTCTTCAGGTTATCAGAACTCCCCTCTGGATTAACATTTTTTCCCCAGAGATTTGTGCATACCAAAGCAAGTTGTGCTCCAAGGTATACTCTTATCAGCTCAGTAATGAATAACACGGCAGGTCTTTCTCAACCATTTGAAGGCTGCATGTGAATACTGGAAGTGGAAAAAGGAAAGTAGCCTTCCAACATAGGACATACACCTCAGAGGGACAAAGATAGTTGCATGTTGCTCTGGCTTGTTTCAAACACAAAGCAGTCTTAGGAAGCTACAGCCTTGATAAGAAACCTTGCCTGTTAAGGACACCCCTTTTCGTAAAAAGGGGAGATCTAGACAGGGGAAAGGGGGCACTTGATTTTGCAGGGGGACTTCAGGAAGAAAAATTGAAGGGATGGAGCAGCAGGAGGTGAAGCACCTGTGGGCAAAAAGTCAGCTAATCCAGGAGGATCAGATGTAAGGGAGATCAGCAGCAGTATTTCAGCAAATGTGCATGCTTAGCGAGACCTTTCAGAAATGTGGGGAACCATATTACAAATTTGAGGCTTCAGCCCTAATGGGTCGCACCCTGCCACTGCTTCTGGAAAGAGGTGAGGTGTTCTGCAGGGCAACTGGTCCAATTTCTTTAGGGCTTTAAGAGTTAACATCAACATATTTGGGCCTGTGGTTGTATTGGCAGCTGAAACGGGAGCAACGTTTTATGCAATTGTACATTGCACATTGTTTTGTTCTCATAAATACTCAGCTGCTCCTGCTATGTTTTCCAGGCATTTGAGCTACACTCCCACTTTTGCAGCTTGAGCTGATCCTCAAGAACTAGATTTCAATCTGCATTGGACTTAAGTGAAGAAAATATTAATTCTATTCCTCCACTTCTCTCTGTGGTTCTTGACATTCCTTTATGTTTACTCAACATTTTGTCATGCATCTGTGTGAACAAGAAAAGACTTGGGAAAGATTATGCAGGTGGCACATGGGTTCTCAGTGGCTCTTATTGAGTTTAATGGGACAAAGAATCGCTCTGCCAGAAGTACTGGCTGACATTCCTTTGGACTCAACCTCACATCTGGACAACCATGCAACCAGAAATAGAAATATGACTTAGGTTATTTTTCAGGACACAAAGGAAATATCGGTCTCTTCTCCTGAAGCAAGATTATAAGCGTGTGTGTGTGTGTGTGTTGGCGTTGGGTAGGAAAACTGTCTCCAAAAATTTGCTTGATCATGCCCTAAAGACAACTGGATTTGGTTGTCTGCCCCACACTCCTCTTAAATATGGAAAGGTCAAAAGGACTTTGTTACTTGATTCTACCCGAACATAGCACTGAATAAGAGCTGAAATTTGACAAATGCTGACACATCTGGAATGTTGCCCTGAGAAGGCTCAGTAAATCATTTCTCACTTCT